ACAATAAGTTATTAATATAATTACTACTTTACAATAAGTTATTAATATAATTACTACTTTACAATAAATTATTAATATAGTTATTAATATAATTACTGTTTTACAATAAGTTATTAATATAATTACTACTTTACAATAAGTTATTAATATAGTTATTGCTATAATTACTATTTTGCAGTATGTTATTAATATAATTATTGATATAACTATTGTGCAAATATAATTATTATTGATATTATTGTCATCGAAAAAAAAAAGATTCATTATTTAATTGTTTTTGTTAATTGTTAAAATGATGAAATAAAAACAAGCAATAATTAATTTGTTGACTTAATTTTTGATGACATTTTGTAAAATTTAAATGTAAAAATTTTATAATTTTTATGTTTATATAAATGAATGTTATTTAAGCAATAAAATATGGTGCTGAAAGCAATATTCCACATGATGAAGCAATAATAAATATTGTAAAAATATACAAACATAAACGATCAACAACAATTGCTGCAAATTTCCAATTATTTGCTTTAGCATCATCTTTTTCCGCATCCATCATACGTTTAGTTATCATCTGAAAATTAGAGGAAAAAAAAAAAGAAAAACTGATAATTTGTTTTATTTCTTTCTTGTGAAATTTTTTTCCAAAAAATTTCAATTATATATTTTGAAAAATTTAACAAATATTATTTTTGTTACTATTTATAAAATAATTTTTTTTTAATATTAAGTTATTATATTATCAGTTAAAATTTGAGTAATTAAATTTGCTGATTCTGTCCTACTTTTTTTTTGGAATAAACTTTAAAGTTTTTTTTTTTTTTTTGAGAAATTAGTTAATGAAATACGATAATAGTGTATTTTTCCATATCAATTTCATTTGTTACAGTATTATTGAAATTTACCTTGAGCTCCTGATAGATTCGTTGTAAAACGAGCAATGTAGCTTGTTGGCCAATATCAGTGGATGAATTTGTTTGGCTCAATGTCGGTCCATTAATTACTGTTGAAATTGGGCTTTTACCATTCGAAATACCACTCATATATTGGCAAACCCTACAGTCTGCATCTAATGAATTAGACCTGAAATGTTTCGTTGATAATATTTCATCAAAATTTTGCTTTATTTTTTTGTAGCAAATTTACTAAAACTTCATATTTTTCGAAAATTTCCGCCTAAATTCCAATTAAGTTTCAAGCTAAAAATCGAAATTTCATAAATTCAAAAATTCACCCAACTTCATTTTTCTTAGAAATTTTCTCTTTAATATGCGAGAAAATGAATGGAAAAAAATGATAGAAGCATTATATATATATATTTGAATGAAATCGAATATCAAACATAAAGTGCTTAAATAAATATTGAATAATTAAGTAAATAATAAAAATAAAAATACAAATTTTGCATCGTATGCCTGAGTTTAAAATTTTTTACCGTATACCCTTATTCATAAGCTAAACTTATACCGTATGCTCTATGTTTTTAACATATTACCTTGAATTTGATTCAGCTTCTTTAATATTCCTTATGAGTGATTCACTATGCGTCGTTGGTTTCCTACTTGGAAATAATGATGGCAATGTCTTCCATGATAAATTAACTCCTGGCCGATTTATTCGAAGTAGATACGGTAGCCAATAAAGTAGTAATGTTTTTGTCTGATAATATTTAACTTATTATTTGTTAAACATAGAGAAAAAAGTTTTTGAACTTTTTTTTGCTTGAATAATTGTTTTTGCGAAAGTTACGATTTATTTTGCATTTTTTAAGCATGAAAATTAATATGAAATTTTTCATT